CACCTCTGGCTGTCCCTCCCCATTCTCCAACCCCGCCCTGGTAGTCAGCCCTCAGGCAGTCTGGGCTCCAGAGCAGAATCCCTGCTATTCACAGCACCACCATCTCCTCCTTGCTCCAGGCATTTCAGAACCTAGCCCAGCTAATCAAATGTCTTTCCCTTTTAGAGACTTCCAGGGAAGTTCTCTGGTTCACTCCTGAAACCCTTAAAGGGAAAGGGAGAGCATTCATTACCATTTTTGCCTCTGCCTCACTGTCTTGAACAAGTCCCATCAAGCGTCCAACCCCAACCACAATCTGTCCCGTTACCTCAGTTTCTGAGATAGAGCCGTCGCAGCTCCAGCTATGGGCTTCCTGACTCAGAGCATTCTGCAGATGCCCCTAAAATATGGGAGGCGGAAGGACTCAGCTCTAGCCTTGGAGAGGAGAGGGGGACGGGTTTCATTGGCTCTCAGAACAGAAAAAGACTATCGTACTCATCCAGACTCAGCCCTTACCTGGTGCCTGACAGCCCAGCAATGTCCCCACCAGGCTTAACTCTGCTTAAAGCTGCTTGGGACCTGCCCCTTGGTGAACTCACCTGTGATGGGGCTCCCCGGGACTGGTCTAGGTTGGACCCCTGAGGCCATTCCCTTTCAACATTGACTTTGCTGTCGCCTGTAGAAAAGCCAACTGGGGCCGGCCCAGTGGCATAGTGGTTCAGTTTGCCCACTCTGCTTCAGTGGCCCAAGGTTCGCAGGTTCGGATCCCGGACGCGGAACTACACACCACTCATCAAGCCATGCTGTGGCAGGTGTCCCACATATAAAATAGAGGAAGATGGGCACAGATGTTACCTCAGGGCCAATTTTCCTCAGCAAAAAGAGGAAGAGTAGCAACAGATGTTAGCTCGGGGCTAATCTTCCTTACCAAAAAAAAAGCCAACACCTTTCCATGACAGAACGTGCTCAGCATTTCTCCACCTCTGCTCTCTGCTTACGGGTCTCTCTGGTTTGGAGGCAGTTTTGGTCTATCCACTGATTCCCCAACAGGCCTGGATGGGGCAGGGGGGAGGGCTCAGAAGGAAGTTCAAATCCAGAAGAAAGTTCTCTTTGTAGAAGGATTTCTGTTTTTCACAGGCAGAGGGAAGTTTCCTGAAGGAAGTACCCTTGAAAGTGTTTGTTCTTTTAAAACTTTCCCTGCATGTGGCACTACTCAAATTGGACTGTCCCCAGCTGCATCGTGGAGGGCTGCATTTGCCAGCAATTCTAAGGCTGTGCCTTCTAGCAATGACAGGGGAGAGCACCAGCAACCTCATGAACTAGAGGCCGCGGTCATCTCCAAGCCTGGTGTTCCAGAGGGAAGACTCAGCTGTCCAGTTCTCCTTTGGGTGGTTTTACCTTCCTCCTCTCCTGTGCCCACGGAGTGTTTGATGATGGTGGAAATATGGCCCAGGTGTGTGGGTATATAATCCCTCCAGTTTCTTTCTTCACCCTTCTCAAACTCGGCTCCATCTTATTTCTTCACCCAAACCGTTCTGAACCTCTCAGTTAAGGAGGCCAGGGGGGTGAGGTCTCCCGCTCAGGCCCCTGATATCCCCCACCCCATCCCTCTGATAGAAACGGGGGCCCACACTGCGGAGCAGCCCAGCAGTTAGTTCTCAGCCCTCTTTCTTCCTCCTTCCTTCATTTTATGTTATTCTTTCCCCTTAAACAAATAGTATTTGTTGGTTGTTTTCTTTCTATTTACAAAAGCAATTTATGAACCATCTAGAAAACTTGGAGATACAGAGAAGTCTCCCTAGACCTCTCGTCCCCTGCAAAATCAAATTTATCCTTCCCATTCATAGAAAACCAGTATTCACCTTGTGGATATGTCTTTTTTATCATTTCTTCTCTATAGATATATACCTAATTTTAAAACCTTTTTATTTTGGAATAACTTTAGATTTACAGGAAAGTTGCAAAGATAATTCAGAGCTCCCATATATCTTTCAACCAGTTTCCCCTGAGGTTTAACATACCCACAGTGCAATGACGGCAATGGAGAAATTAACACTCGGGGACTAGAGTGCAGACTTTACTCAGATTCTACCAGTTTCTCCACTAACGTCCCTTTTCTATTCCAAGATCCAATTCAGTACATCATGTTGCACTAGCATATATCTAATTTTTCAAAAACATATATCCCACTGTGCATACTATTTTGTAGCTGGCTATTTTCATTGGCAATATATTATAAACACTTCCACAGTCAGTTAAAATTGTTGTATGTCATCATCATTTTTAATGGCAGCAAAATGTTCCATTGTTTGGATTAGCCATAATTTGTTTAGCCAATAGTTATTATTTTACATTTAAATATTTTCTAATTTTTCACTACTATAAAGAATGATGAAATGAACATCTTGTACGTACTTCTGATACAGGTATCTCTGGTTATTTTGTCAAAGAGAAATCCCAGAAATGGAATTGCTGTGTCCAGGGGACCCATCCCTCCTCCTTCCAAGTCCACAGCCAGGACTGTGCCCCTGCTGGTGGCCTTTATGCTTAAACAGAATGCTCACCCCTCATCCTGAGGCAGGCAGGGGAAGAAGCAAAGAGACCTCAAAGAGGACCACAGCCTTTGGATGGTGGAGAGGGCGGGAGGAGATGGGAACATCAAGGGAACTCCACGTCCTTAGTGGCTTCTCAGCCATCTTCCAGGCTGACCAGCCCCAGCTGGGTATCTTTTCTCTGTAGAAGGAGGATGATGCTTGGATGCTTGCTCTGAGCCCAAGGGGAATGGGAAGGGGCTGGGGTGGGGGTGGAGCAGAAGCTGCTAATGCATTTTTGCCAGCATCTTGGTTTCTCCAACATCTAGCCAGACTATTAGCAGCTCCCCAAGGATGGCCTTGCTCCTCACGTCATCCCCTATTTTCTACAAATGGGAAGTGGCTAGGGAGTAGGGTTGGTGTGGTGGGGGAGGGAGAGGGGAGGAAGGGAGAGGGACATGGTGGTTTTCCTACAGCTGACTTAGTGGGGAACTGAGGCCCAGAGAAGCTGTTACTTGTCCGGATCAGCCCAGCATGGTGACTAGTAGTATGGGTGTTGTTAGGACTTTCTCTAAGGCTCTGAAGTCACTGTCCAGGCTAGATGACGGATCACTGCTTCTGCCTTGTTTCTGGAGCCCAGAGACTGTGTGTGTGTAGGGGAGGGCGGGGAGTAGGAATTGGACTGAGGGATTGCCTCAGTTTCTTTATCTGAAAATGATACCCATTTCTTGAGTTGTCATTAGGATTGAATGAGTTAAAACATGGAAAGCATTTAGAACAGTGCCTGGCACAATCAGTAATAGTTAACTATTATTATTATTATCACACAAGGCTACACCAGCAGAAAAAGGAGGAGGGAACATTTTCACAGCAAGGGGCCCTATGGCACCCTGTGCTGGGCAAGGCCTGGAGAGTGCCTCCACCTAGATTGGTAAAAAAAGGTCACTTGCATTGGGGAGAGATGACTGGGCACTTATTCAGGTGGTCAGACCTCAGCTCTGGGTGTTCTCCAGGATCTCACACCATGCTGTCTGCTCACTCTCCTGAGCGCTCCTCCCCCTTCCCCATGTCACAAGGCATAAGGCCTGTGCAAAAAGTCAGGGAAGGGACAGGGGGCTCCCACTGCTCTGAGGCGGGACAACTCCCTCCTGCTCTTTTCCCAAGCCTGGAAAACACCATCGTCCAGTCTCTCCTGGCTCTGTAATTTTCCAGCTGACCTGGAATTCCCCCTGACTCCTGCCCTCCTTTCTGGGGCAGAGGGGACACCAGCTCAGGGACCCAGGACTCCACCCTCACCCATAAATGGACATGCCAGCGGCTTTGGAAAGCCACTGGGGCCCTGGAGTGTCCCCTGCTGGAGGGGTGAGTGCTCCCAGGGAGGCAATGCTGAGAGTTTTCAATTTAAACATGTTTCGTGACTCAGAAGGTAGATTCTTGATTCTTTTCTCTCTGTTCTCTCCTGCACACTCTCTCTCTCCCCCACAGCCACCAGGACTCCATTGTTTCCCTCTTCCTCCTCTGCCTCCCAGCTGGAGGTGCCCCGAGAGACCATCTGGCCAACTTCTTCTTACAGAGGCCCAGAATACGGAAGGGACTTGCTCCACATCACACCTGGTTGGTGGCAGGGCCAGTATTGGAACCCAGTGCCCCAATGCCCAGTCCAGGGCTACAGCTAACTGGGTCCTCCTCTTCAAAGGCATCTCCCTGTGATTTTGTGGTATTCAAGTCAACAATCCACATAAATTGGATTTCTCTCTACCATAATAAAACTCCACGGAGGAAAAAAGACACAACTGCCCTCCCCACCCACCCAGGGCCAGCCTGAGCCTCCGGTCTCTGCCTCCACCTGCATTGTTCTACTTGTGTCAAAAGCATTCCAGAAACAGGTATCTGTGGGGACCTTGTTCAACAGCTGACAAAGGGAACATTTTACTGGCAACGTATGACCCTCTCTTACCCATACACACCCTTAGGGACACAAAAACATTGGAATTTGGCTTTTAACTTCAGGAAGGGGGATTGAGTTAGCTGTTAAGGAACCTCGTGTGCCTCGGAGAACAGCACAGCAGGAAGGGTAACTCCGGGAGAACGTGACATCGCCTTTCAGGGGCTGGTCCTGGATGGGTGGGAGGCAGCTCTGCCCGGGGACAGGGCGACGGCCAGAACAGCACGCGCGGGTAGTAGTCGCAGCCTGGCTCCGGGGAGCGGAGGTGCCCCGCGCAGCCGGGTGGCTTTTACCTAAATGTTTTGGTGGCGAGCGGCGAGGGGGCGGTGCCCTGCCCTAGGTAATGATAGGGCAGTCGGGGAGCCACGCGGGAGCAGCCCGTCGCGGTCGCGGCTACAAAGACAGCTTGGAGACCTCCAGCTTTCTTCCCTTGGGTACCAGCCCCACCCCTCCATACCCCCTCCCAGCACCCCCCACCTCCGTCCCGCCTCGCCCCGCCCCACTCCTGGCAGCCCCAGCGCGCATGCTCTCTCCCCCCGCGGAGTAACCTGGAGATTTAAAAGCCGCCGGCTGGCGCGCGTTAGGGGGAGGCTGGGGGGACGAACTTGCACGCGCTAGCCCCAGGTGACAGCCGCCCGCCTCGGCCAGGTAGGGGCGTGATCCCTATGCTCCCGGGGGAGAGGATCCCGGCGCGGAAAAGGGAGGGGCGCTGCGCGGCCGGACTCCGCGGGGTCGCGTGCTTTGCGCCCCGCGGGATGGGGCCGCGCCGTGCCGTCCCGGGCGCTGCGCGCCGAGCCCCTGCGAATCCCGCCGGAGGTGGCGGGACGGCGGGTGCCCCGGGGCGCGTCCTGCGGCGGGCGGGCTGCGGAGCGCCGGGCCCCCCCCCGGGCCCCCGCCGAGCCGTGATTTCTTCCGCAGAGGGCGGGCTGCGCTCGGGGCGCCCGCGTTCCCCGCTGTCCCAGGCCGGGTGGCGGGGTGGGCGGGAGCGGCCCCGCTCCGGAGCCCCGGGCCGGGCAGACCGCGGGCGGACCGGCCGCTCGCTCCTGTTGTAGCCTCCCGCGGCAGAGTTTTCTTTGGAAAGTTGCATTTATTTTCTTCCCTTGTCTCGGCTTCACCGGAAAGGGGCAGGATGAGTCACCGCACAGTCGGGACTTGGGAGCTAGGAAAGGGACCGGGACGCCGCGGGGTCCTCAGGCTTGGGCCAGCTTGCTCGGGGAAGAGTGAGGGGTTAATAAGGGAGGGAAAGGTGATTGAGACCTTTCGGACAGTAGTCTTGGGGCCAGGCTCTGGGCAGAGAGTTGAGGCTGGAGAGTGTGTATGTGTGTGCGCGCGCGCGTTCCTGTGTCCCCTCCCCAGGGGAGGAGGAAAAAGAGAGGCCGCGTTTTCTCCTCGCCTGCCGGCCTCAGGTGGGGATGGTGAGAATTCTCTGAGATCAGCAGACAGGTGTGATGGGGTGGTACCAGGGCATCCGCTACAGCTTCTCGGGGCTCTAGCTTAGGCAGCAGCACAGCCTGCCAGAGAAGCCCCCGGGACCTGCAGCGTCTCTCCTGAGGGAGGATCAGTCCTTCCCAGTCTCCTGTTCCCCTCCCCTCGGGCCTGGAGCTCTGTGCCTTGCTCTTGCCCTTGACTTCTGAATCAGCTTCCGTCTTCTTGACAGACACTCTTGACCTGCTCAGTTTTTCCCCTCCCCAGGGCCACCCCCACTGCTTCCTCTTTTCCCAAGGGGCCAGAGTTGAGGGGAGGGAGGAGTTTGGCATGGTGGGTACCTGGTGAGGACTTGCCCTTCAGCTGTTATGCAGACCCATCCCAGTGGAGCGGCGACTAAGAATAGCCCGGCTGCTGTCTCACTGGCCTGGAGTCTGCAGCTGGGCATAGCGAGTGGACCAGGGCCCGGAGTGACCCTTGCTGGGCGCCTGAGCGTTGCTCAGGGGTCAGAGTGAGGCCCTGGGGGCTTCTGGCTGCTTTTCCTGATGCACTTAGCAGATCTCTTTTTAGACTGGACAGCTTTGGAGTGGACTCACCTGCCCAAGGCGTGGGGAAGAGGCTGATATATGGGGGGAGGGGGGGCGGGCCCAGGAGGTACAGGCTGAAGGGGAAGCCTGAGGAAATCCATAGAGCAACTTCTCCTAGGGAGTGAGTGGGACATTATTTGAGGTCACAGGCCCTTCTGTTGGATGGGTCCCATCGCCTCATTCCCCTCTTATCTCCTCCTTCCAGGCCTGTCGTGGAGCCAGGACTCTGTTGTTCTAAAAGTACTCCGAAAAATGAAGCTTGAGTCAGTAGGATGATTCTGAAGATAAAAATACAGCTGTGGATGAATGTACAGCTGTGGACATACAGACCCTAATTTAGTAGGGGGGGGTGTGGGGGCAAGTTTTCCTATGTACTCGTGGAGTGTGTAGTGAGCTCCCTCTGCCTCCCTGAGTCACCTCGAAGGAGCAGGAGAGGGAGGAGCTGCACAGTGATCCTCAGTGCCCCCTGAGGTCCTTCCTTCCAGGCCACTGGGTGGTGGAGGGATGGCGTGGGTTCCCCTCTCTCAGCCGGTCCAGGGCTCTGGAGAGAAAAGGCAGAGAGGGGATGGTCTGAGGGCTCATCGTAACACAACATTATGCATAAAAACCTAGACTGTCAGGAAGACATGGTTCATAGAATGGCCACTCCACTAGTTGTGGAATATCAGGCGAGTTACTTAACGTCTTCTAAGCCTCAGTATCCCTGGCAGCAAAATGGGGATGATGATAATAATAACGATAATACCTACTGTATAGCTTTGTTATTTATTAAATAACAAATATAACGAATACAAATACTTATAAGTATATAATTATATATAATATATAAAGTATAGCAAATTATAACTTTATTAAATTGTGAATATAGAGCCCTGAGTGTGTGCCTGCTACTGTAATAAGTGCTCAGTAGATGTCAGCTAGTATTAACTCTACTTATCTATCGGACCAAATGGCCCGCAGCATGCAGCCTGGGACTCTGTCCTGTGTTAGACCTGATGCTTTGGGAGAAAGTTCTCCTGGACTTTGGGGAGGCAGCATGACTAGTTGAGAGGCGGTGCTCTACACCCGGTTGCCTGGGTTGGAATCCCATTTCTGCTTGCACAAGTTACTTGACTCTGCTTCTTCCTCCTCTGTAGGCTGAGGATCACAAGACTGACCTCACAGTACTGTGAGCACAAACAAGCTGATGTAGGTAAAGCTCCAAGCGCAGCAGCTGCAAGTAAAAAGAGCTTGATATGTGTCAGCTGCTGTTCCTTGGTGACAATGGAGGCAATCATTGTGATTTACACTCAGAAACCAGAGTGTCTTAGCAAAGGAATTAGACTATATGTAACTATATGTAAACTGTGAATGGCGCATTGGCAGTGGAACTTGTGGTCTGGTGCAAAGAACACACCAGAACTGCATGTCCTGGTCTCTCCCCTGTCAATACTGTGTGTGGCTTGCTTTTTAATCAGTCCAGAAACCCTGACCTGCTTACCTCCTCAAGCCGGAAGAGGGTTCCGTGAGGTAATGGAGGTGAATAATATTCTGAAAGGTTAAGAGCCTTCTATGCAGAAAGGTTATTTGTTGTGATTTTTAGGGAATCTGTATGAGAGGGAGGGGGTGCTGTGAAGTTGGGGTTCTGCTCTCTCCTCCCTCCCCACCCCTAGGGACCCTTTGCACTGCTTTCTGGCGTCCAGAAGAAAAGCCCAGCCTGGTTTTCTGTGAACAGTCAGTGGCCCTGTTTGCTGGCAGCGGGAGTGGAGGCTGCATCAGTTGGTACCAGGCCCAGTGTCTCGAACGCTGGTGCCACTTGACTCCCAGCAATAGAGCTGCAGTGCGGGGCTTTGTCCAGTGTATTAAGTGTCCCTACTTGGGGGGAGGGGTGGTGACAGAGCCATCACAGGATGGTCCTGATATCTGGCCAGAACTTCCTGTTTAAACCCTTTTTCTACCACACGGTCTGTGTTTCCTCCTCCATGAGAGGAAATCCGTGGTTTTGCCACTGACCCCACGTGACTTGTGGGGCTCCTTGCTTCTGATGTTGGAGATGGGCCTGCCTCACCTGTTGCCTCAGTTTCTGTGTCTGTAAAATGGAGATGATAGTATTCACCTTGGTAGGTTACAGTGAGGATTAATAAGGCAGGCATATTTAGCAAAGTGCTACACAGATGAGGTGCTCACTACACGTCTGTGCCCTTCCCCTTCTTTGTTAATTCTGGCGATCACTCTCTCTCGGAAGCTGGGATGAGCCAGTCCCTAGACCCATAGCTTACAGTTCCTCACTCACCGAATTCAGGCCAGACTGAACACCTAGCTAAATAGGATGCCCACTGGAGCAGCCAGCCTGAGACAGCAGCCCCTCTTTCTTTTCCCAGGGCTCCCTATCATGCCCCCCCACCCCAGTCACACGCGTGCTTTGAGCTGGCAAATAGTGTCCAAGCTGGGAGTGCCCAGCCCATCCCTAGGGATGTGGCGGTCTAGCTTCCTGCTCGTGGCTCATCGCTAGAGAAGGCTAAGCACCCAGATACCTTGAATGTGGCCCTGCCTGAATCCCAAGCACACTGGTCAGATCACCTCGGGCAGGAACCCTGATTCAGCCTCACCCGTAAGGCCTTCTGTTGAGCATCCCCGTTCTCAGGGCCTGGGCAGGGACTGTGCTCCCTGCTTTCCAGGAGCTGAAGGGCTAGTGGGGTGGGGGAGGGGGAAGGACTACAAGCAGAGGCCAGGAGGACCATGAGTGATAGCCAACCCTGAGGGCTGCCCGGTGAGCACAGTTGAGATTTTTTTTTTTTAAAACAGTTTTATTTATTTATTTTATTTTTGTGTCTGTGAGGAAGATCAGCCCTGAGCTAACATCCATGCTAATCCTCCTCTTTTTGCTGAGGAAGACCGGCTCTGAGCTAACATCTATTGCCAATCTTCCTCCTTCCCCCCCCTCCCAAAGCCCCAGTAGATAGTTGCATGTCATAGTTGCACATCCTTCTAGTTGCTGTATGTGGGACGCGGCCTCAGCATGGCTGGAGAAGCGGTGTGTCGGTGCGCGCCCGGGATCCGAACCTGGGCCACCAGTAGCGGAGCGCACACACTTAACCGCTAAGCCACGGGGCTGGCCCAAGCACAGTTGAGATTTGAGAGAAAGGGGGATTCTATTATTATTATTTTTTTGTTTTTGCTGAGGACGATTAGCCTGAGCTAACATCTGTGCCAACCTTCCGCTACTTTATATGTGGGTCGCTGCCTCAGCATGGCTGACGAGTGGCGTAGGTCCGCACCTGGGAGTGGGAGCGCGCTGAACTTAACCACTACGCCATGGAGCTGGCCCGAAAGGGGGATTCTTGACAGCTTGGGTTCTGGGCAGCCTGGAGGAGGTGTGGGACTTGAGCTGGACAGGGTTCTGGGGAAAGGGAGAGCCCATCCAGGGGAGGTAACTGGGGTACAATGTCTACTTTGGAAGCAAAAACATGCTCAGCGCTGAGGAGTATCCCCATCTTGGGCCCAGTTCTGAGCTCAAAACCCCATCCCACGATTTTGGTCTGGTATTCTCTCCAGCACACCTGGCGGGGAAGGGGCCAGAAGGAGAGGTGGCTGAGTGTGGGAATCCCAGGCTGCAGTGGCTGTTTTGCAGACATCCACCCTTTCCTGCATGGCTCC